CCACCGGCCAGATAAATCGTCAAGCCACCTGCTCCTGGAGGCGCAGGCGGCGGAAGTGAAGTCCCAGTTAAAGATAAAATTTCAAACCGCCCGTGTAGTGTTACGACACTTCCAGCTGGAGCCGCCGGTTGCCGCAATGTAACATTGGTGACCGCCCCAGTTCCGCTGAGCACACAAACGCCCCGCCCCCGCCGCCGTGCGTAGCTGGACACTGATTCAACTATGTCGGAACCCGAAGAAATTTCTAACACGTGGGATCTCAGCGCGTTTGGGCTGTCGCGAGTGACGATTATTGGTGGCTTGGGTTTGTTCTTGGAGCCCGCTGGACGCCCTCGAGGCCTACGGCCGGAAGAAGTCGTCCCAGCTCCGCCGCCTGAGCTGGTGGTGGTGGCTCCTCCATCAGGATCCGTCGACCCTTCTAGTTTCTCGGGAGATTGTTGAGATATATTAAGCTGAGGTCCGAGTAGCTGATGAACATAGCGAGAACCTGAACCTGATTCCAAACCAGACATTGCCACAAACCCCACTTGCCACCTCTAACTAATTTCAATCTGATCTTTTAATTATCAAAATTCAAGGTATGGAAAAAGGGAAAGGAAAAATGAAAATTAAAACTTTCCAAATTATGCTGCTACAGTTCTACAAATTTGTTCTACTCTACGTGGAGAAGGGAAACTAGGTTTTCACATATATCATGAAGGAAAATAGTTTCCTTGGAAAATTAACTGATATACTAATATATGCAAAAACTGTATAGTAGTATAGTGATTTCTTTTTGACTGCAGTTATGATCAAATGTCCTTTTTCTTGTGCTACAGTCATGAGTCAACTGCTAAACAAAGGGCTTTAGGTTTCTGCGACTGCAAGAATTCTTCAAACCAAAACCAAGTGATTAGATTAATTATGATTAAGAAAACTCTATCAAGAGATCAAATTTGTTTGAACCAAATATGGGTTTAAAAGCTTGAAGGTAAATGCATTAAGTTTGTCTTCCAAACCCAGATCCAGATCTTTGCAAGGAAGAAAAGGATACTAAGGGGAAAAGATGAAGAAAAAAGAGAACAGCAAAAACCCTCTTGAAGTGAATGATAATGTGAACATATATCATCATATAAAACTAAAAACTAGGAAATATTTTATTCAAAGACTGTGTATTATAGTAATCATTTTCATTAAAATAAAAAAGAAGACTATATATATATATATATATATAGTTTTTTTTATACTACTATATATAGCATAGGTTTTTTATTCATTACCTCAAATCTATGGGTTTGAATGTCTGAAAACCAAGCTTTGAATAGGATGGATTCAATGGAGACTTTGAGAGAGGAAAAATTGGAGGAAAGCAAAGAGAGAAGGAGAGAGGAGCAATTTCAGTGATGGTAAAGCTAATAAAGATAAAGAAAGGATGCTTTGTTGACAAGCAAGGCATAAAATTTCTATGCATTTTGATTTTGGGGTTTAATCAATCCACAGCTGAGGACATACATATGTATCATGTCATATAAAATTGTTTTTCTCTTGTTTTCTTCTTTTTTCTTTCTTTAGTTTATCTTTTGTATAATATAGTAATTTAATTTAATAAGGAATAAAAGGATCCAATTTATTAAAAGGTCTTTTTTGGTTACTTCTATCAAAAATTAAGATATATATGTATATATATATATATGGACTTACTTAATTTCTTTCTTTTTTTAATCTTTTGGACAAAGGGTTGAAATTTTTATATAAATAATAATACCCTCCCTATATATACATTGTGTCTATATATATACTATATATATAAAGTACTAGGGCACCCGAGTTGTTAGTTCAACTGGTGAGTGCACCCTGCCTGGACCATGAGGTTCTGGGTTCAAGTCTCACGGAATGTGAGTTAAATTTATTTATTTGTTTGTTTGGTAGTTGGGTAAGTAGGTTATTTAAGCTAATTTCTTAGCTTGAGTTGGATTCTCATTTAAGATGTTTGGGTATATGGAAATTTATTCTGTTTGTAATGAGATTTCATTTTGTATCACTAAAAAAAAGCACTAGGGGTATTGGTACTATCACTTAAAATCTTGTAAGGTATGTGGCCGTGAGAAATTATTGTGTGGAATCGATTACCATATCAGCTATAAGATCAGTTACTAATATAATTATAATTCAATAATTTTCTAAAATTCTATCCTAATAATATCTTAAATTTGAAAACTTATCTTAACGTATGATTTATTTTAAAAGGATCAAGATTAGGCTACTTTTAGGAGTTAATTTGATGGCACAATTTTAGTGTTATTGTTCCGATGGTTGACATGGTATAGAACAGTCTTATCTAATAAGTTTAGGACTTGATTAAATGACACAATTTTAGTAATTGTTCCAATTGGTAACATGGTGGGACGATCCATCTAATTATTTCTCATAAGGTGCTAGCTGTACCTCAGGATCAATCCGTTTAAAATGAATATATTATATGATGATGATGATGATGATCATAATAATAATAATAATAACAATAATAATAATAATAATAATGATAATAAAAGATGGGATAACTATTATTTTAATATATTACGAGATGGGTAGCCCGCGCTGGCGCGTCGGGTGTCTTTTTATTTTATTTTTTTTGCTCTTCGTGCAATTTACCCTGGAATCAAATATGGTTTTGTTGGTCTTTTCTATATTTAATACATAAATATAGTTTCTTTCTTATCTAGTCTTACTTCATTCGACAATCATGTTCTGTTTTTAGCTCTTGCTCTTTTGGCATTTGGAAATCAGTAAAACAATTAGAATGATGGTTATATAAAAGTCCAATAATAAGAATGATGGTTCTTATCAAATATGGTATGCTATGCTACGGCTACCTCTAATGATCTTATGACTCTGAGTATCCAATGAACTCTTGGATTTTAAGTCTTTGATAGGTTAATTATAAATTTGAATAGATTTAGCCATCAAATTGTATATGTAATAGAATGATTGTTAATTATTTACTTAAAATAAAATATCATTCAATCCTTGAATCAAATATGGTTTTGTTGGTCTTTTCTATATGATGGTTATATAAAAGTTCAAAGATAAGAATGATGGTTCTTATCAAATTGAATATGTAATGGAATGATTGTTAATTATTTACTTAAAATAAAATATCATTCAAGACTTAAAATGAATGAAAGTTGAGTAGGAAAAACGATTGTATCATTTTTCCTTTTAATCTTCTTTTTTATAATCTTCTTGTCTAATCAAAAAAATGAGGATGAAGGGGAATAATAGGTATGTAGGCTAATGTCATCAGTAGGCTTGAATATTGAGAAGCATAATTCCCTTTTAATCATTTTTTTTTCTAATCTTCTTGTGTAATCAAAAAAATGAGGATGAAGGGGAATAATTAGGTATTAATTAGCTATTATTCCCTATTAATCATATTGAATTTATTCATTATTAATTAACTATTAATTAGATATTAATTAGCTATTAATTAGATATAGTATAATGGATGATTAAGGAGGGGTTTTAAATTAATATGTTAGATGTGAGAAATTACCAAAATGGGGCGATAAAGTGGCACCAGGTTAAAAGTTGAAAGGGTTTGTTAGTATTTTCCATATGGGACAAAAATAATATATAGTATATATATATATATTTATAAATTATTTGAAAAATAATTTTTTATATTAAAATATTAATAAATCAATTTTTCGATGTAGTTTTGGTTCGGTTTTATTTTTAACCGGTCAAATAAATGTCAATCTTTAACCTTCAATTTTCGAGCCAATCAATTCAAATGGCCGGTTTGATCGGTTTTTTCAACACTGACTATAAATACAATTGATATAAACAAATGAAAATATAGATTTTCTTTTTCTTCTAATTTTTAGGATAAATCAATCAGTCGGTTCCAATAATAGAAGTTGTTAATTATTGCTATAGATAGAGAGAGCATTAAGTTTTTATTTTTTTTTATTTTTTTAAGGAAAGATAATGTAATTTTCATTTATAAAGAGATCATTAAAGAGAGCATTAAGTTATTAATTCTATTAAATATCATTATATGCATATATATAAATGTATAAGCTAGGTAGCTAGAAGGTACACCTGACCTGATTAATTATCTGCAGAAAGAAATTAAATTAATTAATACATCGGCAAAAAAAAGAAAGAGAAATAATTTAAAAGAGGAAGCAAGCCAAGCACCTACCTTAAAATTGATCTGATCTGACCAATTAAAAAGTAAGTATTAGTAAACTCATTCGGTTGATAAGGTTTGACCGAATTTACAAATGGCGGCAGATGCAGATGTAGATGAAGATGCTGGTATTTGTTGTATTCTTCGTCTCTGCTGGGTTTGCTGGGTTCAATATTACTATGTCTTGTTCATGACACACCAAAGAGTCAAATTGCAGCATGGACGAGAAACGTGTCAGACACGTGAGAGCTGTCGGGAACTTTGGAACTTGCCCGAACCTCACCCCCTTGCGTTGCTTCCTTCTCATCTTATCCTTTTCTCTCCCACCTTTTTTTTTTTTAAATAGTTTCTTTTTCTTTTCTTTTCTCATATACAAAAGTTAATAAATTACTACAACAAATAATATAAGCTAATAAGTTAGTAATTGATTTAATTAAGTGTTAATTACAATGACCTCAACGTTAATTAAGAACTAGAAGAAATGTTTTCTCTCGTCTTTGCCTGCCTCCTCTCTCCGGTTTGTTTCCGGTAGAGATTTACCCTTATCTCGGTGCAAGATCCCCTCCTTGGATTTGGTGGTTTCCATTGAAAATTCTAAGGATTGTTATCAGTTGGCTATTATCTCAGATTTGATTACTTTTATCTCTTTTTTGAATTTAAAAAGTTGTTTCCACAATTACAGCCAACAGGAGTCTTTGTGTTCTACTACAAATACTGGGGAGATGGATGTGGTGGATTGCATTCTCTTTTTGGCTATCTAATTGCATACTTATCTTTCAATCGACTTATAACTCCTGTGATTTCCATGGACAGAGCTCTGTCGAATATGTGTTCCAGACTTTCACTTCAAAGCGAGGGAGGGGATGAAGTGGTGGTGCAGGATCAAGACTGGTTGGGTGGCAGTGAAGGGGATTTGGCATGGTTCCATTTAATTAGCCGTTTGTTCTCCAAACAAAAGGCTAATGTCGACCGCCTGCGGACAACAATGTTGTTGGCGTGGCAAGTAGAAGTTGCGTTTATGATCAAAGAAGCTGGTGACAATCTGTTTATCTTTCATTTTGAAGATGAGGTAGAAAGGGACCGAATTTTGGTGTCTCAACCATGGTGCTTCAATCGGACTCTGCTCGTGCTCAAAGATTTCGATGGCATCCAAGTTCCAACTGAGGTAGTCTTTGATCAGTGACAATATTGGATGCGGGTGTTTAATCTACCAATTGTGATGATGAACATGCGGATTGGAGTATCAGTTGGGGAAATTATAGGACCAGTACTGGAAGTAGATGACACTTGCGGGAGGTTTTTAAGGGTCCGAGTGGTGCTTAATCTATCAACTCCATTGAAGAGGACAACGACAGTTATTACTTCTCAGGGTGAGATTATTGTGCGTTTTAAATATGAAAAATTACCAGTTTTTTTTCAGGGTCTGTGGATCTTGACACACTTGGATTCTGACTGTCCGGTGGGTGTAACGATGCTCAAAACACAAGGGTATATTGAAAAGAAATTTGATGACAGTATAAGGGCAAAAATCCTCGATGCGAAGCCTCGGCAATCGGGGCTATTGGCTCGTTCTCGGATGAGGGTCTCAAATCAGGGGATGGGGAATAGAGGAGGTATTAATCAATTACCAGCAAGCTCTATATCAGGGAATAGTCAGCCACGAGCACTTCGAAACCATGTTGACAGCCAACTTCTTCGACGGCGGTAGGTGGCGCGTGGGTTGGGCAACGAGGAGAATAATTGTGATTTGGCTTCTAAGTCTGGGGGCATGTTCGTGGCGCAAAATCAGGGTGACTAGGTAACGTGGATGTCCATTTTCAAAGGAGACAAGTGGGTGTCATGGGTTCTCCATCAAAAGGGGTGGCGCAAAATGAGCAAGGTATGAAGTTGATGGCCGATTCTTTTGCAGCCTTATGAAATTGGCGTGGTAAGCAAAAGGAGGTGGTTGCGGACTTACCTTTAACTAAGGGTTTGGGAGAGTCTTCACCAAATGAGGGAGAGTTCTTACGGGTTGCTAATTTGGGCCAGTGTAATGTGGAGTCAATTCCTGGGATTGGGCCCGCTCAATTAAGGGCATGTCAAGCTGCACATCCACAACACCAAGTGGTCCAAAATAATCCACAATATAATGGATTGGATCAAAGTAACAAGGATAACATTCCTCTTGAAGCAGAATCCAGTTCACCAACCCCTTTTGTTTTTGGGGCGACATCGCGCCATCGCCAGGGAGGAGGCAGAGGAATTGGAAGAAAAAGGCACGTATCACTTCAAAGTATACCTTCGATGTTTTGGGGCCTTGTACTAATGCTGATCAGAAAATTGGGCAAAAGCAAAATTCGGGGATTCCAAATTATGACTTCCTCAGTGCTGGAGCTAATAAGAAATGGAAAGAACGAGGTATGATGCTTGATAATCAAGAAGGGGATGAATTTGGTGCTGCTATTTATCGAGACTTGGGAGCTGTTGATGGGCCAACCAATACGACTAATAGTGGCGCTTCTGGTGATCGGAATAATAATCACAAATCTCAATCGGCCGGGATGGAGGAGAACCATCCCTGCCGGGAACCATTAATCTTCTTGTTTGGAACTACCGAGGCCTTGGAGGCTCTCGGGCAGTGTTTTCCCTTCGTAATTTAACCCGTTGTAATAATAGGCCTAGCATTATTTTTCTTTCCGAAACTAAACGTTCTGCTTCGGAAATGGAGTGCCTTCGTTGTCAAGTTGGTTATGATTGTTGTTTTAGTGTAGGAAGTGTTGGTAGATTTGGTGGTTTAGCTATGATGTGGAATAATGAAATTGTTGTTTCGATAATGTCTTACTCTAACTCGCACATTGGTGTAACTGTGGGTGATGCAGAAATTGAAAAATGGCGTTTTACAGGCTTTTATGGCCGCCAAGAAACTAATAAGCGCCATGAATCATGGGCTTTGTTAAGATTACTTGCATCATAGTCGAGTCTTCCTTGGCTCTGTTCTGGCGACTTCAACGAGCTCTTATCGAATGATGAAAAGATTGGGGGAAACTTAAGATCGCAGCGCAAATGAATGATTTCCGAGAAGTGATTGAGGAGTGTCGTTTTAGTGAACTTCCATCCAAGGGACCTATTTATACTTGGTCTCGCAGGTTTGCTGGGGAAATAATTTTTGAAAAATTAGATCGAGGTTTTGCTACGGAGCAATGGCTTAATCGTTTTTTGTTTTCCCATGTTCAAACGTTGATTCACTCAAGTTCTGATCATCTTCCCCTATTGATTAATGTATTGGATAAGGTTCCAATGGACTTTATACCGAGAAAAGATTTCCGTTTTGAGCATATGTGGATCAAGCATGATGGTTTGGAGGAAGTGATTAGGGAGTCTTGGAACCAGAACCCGATGTTGGACGTTAAACAATCCATTGAAGCTTGTGGAAGAGTTTTACAATTCTGGAATAAGAGTGTTTTTGGGAATGTCCGACACAAAATTAATTGTAAACAGAGGGAATTGGAGAATCTTTATGTGGATATACAGCAGCAAGATGGTCCTCAGGCTATACAAAACTGTGTAGATGAACTTAATGTCTTATATGATCAAGAGGAGATAATGTGGCGGCAGCAATCGAAGGTGCCCTGGCTTAAAGATGGAGACCAAAATTTGAATTTTTTTCATTCGGTTGCTTCATGTAGGAAAAGGAGAAATTCGATTGTACCAATTCAAGATGAGGATGGATCTTGGCAGAGTGATCGGGTTGTGGTAGAAAGAATGTTTATGGATTATTTTCGAAGCATTTTTACCACTTCTCACCTCATATTACAAGAATACATGCAGTCACTGGTCTGTTGGATAGGAGAATTACTTCGGACATGTGCTCTGTTTGGATAGGGAATTCACAAAAGAGGAGATTAGGCAGGCAGCTTTTAATATGGATCCAGATAAAGCAGCAGGTGCGGATGGCATGTCTCCACTCTTTTTCAACGTTTTTGGAATATTGTGGGTAATAAGGTATGTGATATGGCTCTGTTATTTCTTAACTTCAGTTTTCTGTTACTGGATATAAATCATACAAATGTAGTTCTTATTCTAAAGATTGACAATCCAATTTCTGTGAAGGACTTTCGTCATATAAGTCTATTTAATGTAATTTTCAAGATAATTTCCAAGGCTCTGGTGAATTGGTTGAAAGAGATATTGCCTCAGATTATTAGTCAAACTCAAAGCGCTTTCGTACCAGGGAGGATGGTATTTGATAGTGCAATGGTGGCTTTTGAAACGGTGCATTATTTGAAGAATAAACGACATGGTGTAGATGGCTATATGGCACTGAAGCTTGACTTGAGCAAGGCTTATGACAAGGTCGAACAGGATTTCTTGGATTCTGTTATGCGGCAAATTGGATTTTCAAAAAAATGGATTTTGATGGTTATGAACTGTGTAAAAACGGTTTCATATTCTTTTTTGATTAATGGTGACCAAACGAAGAAGTTTATGCCAACACGTGGGATTAGACAGGGGGATCCTCTCTCTCCCTATTTGTTTCTTCTCTGTATGGAAGGGTTGTCCTGTTTGTCGCAACTTGCGGGTCCGGGGTCCGAACCCTGCCGTTAACAACTTGAGAAGAGGGAGTGGGAGTCGCCACTAATCAAATTCTAGGTGTGATTAGTCACCTGATTGACCTAACTAGCCTAATGAGGTCCAAGGCCTAGCGAGAGACCCACTAAACCTATAGGTCTGGTCTTGTTACCTGAATCTAAGTCCGGGAGTCGATTACGTTTGGGGAAGGATTAGCACCCCCAAACGCCCGTCAAATGACGGTACCTCTAGTCTAATCTAGATCTATTACGGGTCTGAAATAAAAGATTGCTTTTAGTCCTTAATCCTATATTTTTTGTCTTTTCTTTGTTTCAGGAGAATTGAAACCTTTTTATTTGACTGCTTAATATTAATCTTTTTGTGTTTTCTTTAAGCTTTAAAACCTTTTATTCTCTTGAATGCAAGAAACATGATAAACTGACCCTTTGTCCGAAAGGGTATTTTGGGAAATAAAATCTAAATGCAAGAAGTGACAAAATTGACCCTTTGTCTGAAAGGGTATTCTAGGAAACCAAGATTAAACTTGTATGCAGAGTTGTGAGAAAATTGACCCTTTGTCCGAAAGGGCATTTCGGGAACAACAAGTAAGAGAATGGTGCCTTCCGTCCGGGAAGGGCGTTTTAGGAAAAACAGGTAAAAATTAGTGCCTTCGGTCTGGGGAGGGCATTTTGGGAGAAACAGGTAATAATCAGTGCCTTTCGTCCGGGAAGGGCGTTTTGGGAAATAGCAAGTAAAGATAAACGGCCTCCGTCTAGGAAGGGCGTTTTGGGAAATAGCAAGCAAAAACAAATGGCTTCCGTCTGGGAAGGGCATTTTGGGAAGTAACAAGTGAGAACTGAAAATTTAAAGAATCAGCCTTTTGTCTTTGATTTTTTTTTCTAATTTTCATTTACTTAGGAGCAAACTCTTCTATTTCCTTTATTTGAGTTTTAATTTCTCATTTTGTATTTTATGTTTCATTACCTCAAAGTTCAATTAACGGACAAAAATGCGTGCAATGCATGATCTGGTCTTTTTTAACTGATTGGCAAAGAGTCATTTACTCGAATAATTTCGGAGGACCCTTCCCACGCATTATGGGGGTATCCGCAAAACTATCCAATCTCGGAGCAGACCTTGGGAGGTCGTGCCCGAGCACAATTACCCAAAGTCCACCCGTCATAGTTAAAAACGGCATTTACCAGTCTTAATTATTTTGTGGCGTGTACGACAACATAAATATATGCAAATGATTTTCTAAATTAATTTAAATTATTTCTTTAAAGTTGAACTTGATCTTCTAAAAGACTAAAGTTTATTAAATTGTTCAAAGTTAAACTAAATTTCTAAATTAATTTAAATCTAACATTTTTACCTTTATTAATTTATTGAAAAGTAAATTAAATCTTAAGGTTAAGCCTTTAATTGACTAAGATAACAACAAATAATACCAAATTGCATTAAATAGAAGCATGAATCAAACCGGAAAGGACCAAATCAGAAAGCTTGGAACTTATCCAATTATGTTGTGATTTCTCTCTCTTAAACGACGTCGTTTTGACTTCAGTCCGTACGAGCTATAAAAACGGCTTTTCTCCTCTCTCCTTCAAATCTCCATCCGCCTGAAACCCTAACTCAAAGTTGCCGCCACCGCCTGAAATCACCTCCGCCGTGCCAGAGCCCCGTTCGTCGTCAATCGGCCCTCAAAGTCTCCAGATTTGCTCATCCTTTTACCTCGATCTCTGATCCGGCCTCTGTTCTTGAATCCCAAGCCTGCAACTTGATGAAACAGTATCTAGCCGAAACAAGCTTTTTCCTTCCGATCTGCTTCCTCCACCGTTAGATCTTTCTGATCTCAAGGTATGTTAATCCCTCCTCTCTTCTACTCCAAAAACCCTTCTTAATCACCCAAATACTATAAAATGGGAACACTGATTTGAACTTTTCGTTGTTATTTCAGCACTGGAAACCAAGAGGAAGGGTATTAAGCCTAGTAAAAGTCCCAAGGTGATTAGAGATTTTGAAAGGGTGAGGAGAAAGAATCCCTTGAGAGAGTCTGTGGTTTTTTTAGTGAGAGAATTCAGAGAGAGATTGAGAGGGTGAGGCTGTGTGTCCGAGAGAAGCTCCGAATTTTTTAGAGAGCAGTGAGGTTAGAGAGTGAAGATGAATCTGTTGAATGAGAGAGAGAGGAGAGAGAGGCTTCTGTTTTTTTTTTGGTGTCGATTCCCTTTCTTTGTTAAGATCCACCCCCCCTTTTTTTTGTTCTCTGTTTTTCCTTTTTCTATCTAATGGCTCAATAGATTTTTTTGTTCTAAACATTGATTTCCCCTTATTCTCCTTGCAGGCTTTTGATAGTATCTTTTTGGCTTTTCCTGTAATTCCCACTTGTAGGGAATGTGTTGCCCTTGGTTTGTCTGTCTTGTTTTTTGTTTGAGCTTAGTGGTTGCATGACAGAGTCTGTATGTGTGCAGTGTGTAACAGTGGCAGAGTATGCTCTTGCACAAAATGAAAGTGGAGCTTGCCTATTTTGTCTGCTTTTTATCTTGCAACCTTGTCTCTACTATTTATTTCCTCTCATTCTGTTTTCTCTCAATCTCATGTGAATTCACCCTTACAGGTGTGCTGAGCTGGCTTGTGGGGTTCACTTGGGAGCCAATCAATGGCTGCCACATCATGGTAAGAGTCCCTTTTTCCTTTGCTTTGTCTGCTGAAGTTAATTGAATGTGAGACTGGTTGAAATGTCTAAATGCAGTGCGATATGGATGCCTACATGCTCTGTTTTTGTTAGTCTATTAACTAGGATGCAATGCAATGTGATGGGTGTAAATGCATGCTGTTTTATTTATTGGGAAATGCTGCTAAACAGCGATGGAAATGTAAATGCTTGAATGCTGAATGGGATGCTTTGAATGATCTTATGGAATTTGTAAACTGAAATGGATGTTTGATGATCTTTCTGAATTTGATAATACCCCTGATATGCTTGCTGCAATAGATTTGTGAAGGGAAAGTGCTAAATGCAATCTGATGTAGTGAAGGTGTTACGCGAAACTTGAAATTGAATTTGGAAAGTGTGACATGATTGTGCCAATGTGTGATTGAAAATGCTATCTAGTATCTACATGCTCTGTTTTTGGTATTTATTTTTTTTGAGCGCATGCTGTATGAATTATGCACCAGGGTCGAATGCCTCAAGTCTACAAAGTTGAATCTTTGGCGCACCTAATTGGCCAGCTGAACTAACACAACAAGCGAGGAAGGGAAACACCAGTTTGAAAGAAATAAGGGGCGCTAAACACAAAGGGGTCGAAAAGCTTTAGGCTAAAAATGGACCGTTTTTTTTGTATTTTCGAGTTTCAATTTTGTAAATGTAAAACTGTAAAAGGGATTGTAAATAAATAATAAAAAAAACTCTTGTAATTTTCTATATGAACTTGGAACTTGAATGGACCCACTCTTCCAAGGATTTAGACTCTCCAATTTGTCAAAACCCAAATCATATTAAAATGAAATGGTTCAATTTCAATTAACAATTGAAGGTCCAAAAGCAAAGTGTGAAGGAAAAGCCCGAAATGGAATAAAAGTAAACCCAAAGGACCCAAAGGAACGGATTTACTTAAAAATAAACTATGAATTTACTTAAAAATGAACTACGAATTGACCAAAATGCTCCCAATACGAATTAAGGAAAGTTTAATCTAAATGAAAGGATATAGGTCCAAAATGCCATGCAGAAATTAGAAACTACAATAATGAAATGTGCAAAGGATGGGATGAGATGTGTTAATGCAAAATGGTTCTACTGAATTGCCAAAATGACCTAAACGACCCTAAATAACTCTAAATGCAGATATAGTAACAAAATAACTTAAATTAAAGGATACAAGTCAAAGAAACGGGTGTCTACACTGTTTAATACAGAATGCAGAAAGAACGGGGGCAATTAGGGGAGTTGCAATAGCCAGGGGTGCACCAAGGGTGTCCCATATATTTTTTGTGGATGACTGTCTATTGTTCTTGAGAGCTACATTAGCTGAATGTGACCATGTTTTAGATGTTCTCAAGATTTTTGAGGAAGCATCGGGACAATTGATAATTTTTTTAAGAATGTTTCTGATCAAGCACCAGTTTTGATAATGCAGAGACTGGGTGCAGAAGACTTTGGCAAAAGACAAGCACTTGGGAATGCCCATAATGATTGGAAAATCGAAAAGGGCAGAATTAGAAGCAATTAAAGACAGACTTTGGAAACGATTTAAGGGTTGGAGTTGCAAAATGCTTTCTATTGCAGGTCGTGCTGTCTTAATTCAGGCTGTAGCACAAGCCATTCCCACTTACCTTATGAGTTGTTTTAAATTTCTGAAGACATTCCTACATGAGTTAAATTAGATGATTGTTAGATTTTGGTAGGGTGGAGACGATTCTCGGAGAAAGATTCATCGGAAGAACTGGGAAGATTTATGTGTCTCAAAGCTCGATGGGGGTTTGGGCTTCCGTGATTTCGAAGCATTTCATTTAGCCTTATTAGCTAAACAAGGCTGGCGAATTATCCTTAATGAAAACTCATTATGCTCTTGTATTTTAAAGGCCAAGTACTTTAGTAATAAAACGTTTATGACGGCCACATTAAGTAGTAATCCATCCTTTTTATGGCGGAGTTTGCTTGTTGGACGGGATGTTATTAAGTTTGGCTCTTCGATAGATGTTTGGACTGATAATTGGCTAAACAAGGCTACAAATTTTCAACCACAGGCTAGACATGGTGTTGTTTGTCAGCCGATTAAGGTGAGTTCATTGATGGATAACGGGCAATGGGACCTTGATCTTTTAAATGAATTGTTTGAGAAGCAGGATGTGGGATGAATATTTTGCATTCCCTTATCAATAATGCACTCTTGTGATACTTTTATTTGGCATGGGACAAGTAATGGTCATTATACAGTGAAATCGGGTTACTATGTTGCGAGGAATCTATTAGGTAAGGTGTCTCCTGCATTGGACTATAGAGCAGCTATTTGGAGTCGATTATGGGGTGC